GCCCCCGCGACCCAAAACCCTAACGCCCACCCTCCCCTCAAAACGAAAATCAACCCTAAACCTACAACCCTACACCCTAAACCCTAAACCCTAAACCCTAAACCCCAAACCCGACACCCCAAACCTCAAACGGTATTAAGGCCCTATATTACTTAAGCCACAAAGGGAGCCCCATAATACCCTAAGCCCCAAACCCTAAACGCGAAACGGGCTCTCAGCCTCCTCCAAGGCTGGGGTCGTGCGGCCCCTGCTTGCCGCACTGCTGACGGAGGAGTCGGGGCCACAGCGTTCCCTTGCTGTAGGGGCTTATAAAGTTTATATAGTTTAGGGTTTAGGGCTTTAGGGGCTTATAAAGTTTAATAGTTTAGGGTTTAGGGCTTTAGGGGCTTATAAAGTTTATATAGTTTAGGGTTTAGGGCTTTAGGGGCTTAAGTTGCTTAGGGCTTACATAGCTTGGCTTATATAGTTTAGGGTTTAGGGTTTAGGCCACAGCGTTCCCTTACTTTAGGGGCTTAAGGTTCACAGAGTTTAGGGTTTTGGGTTTTAGGGGCTTAAGGGTTATGTAGTTTAGGGTTTAGGGCTTTAGGGGCTTTTGCTTTAGGGGCTTAAGTTGCTTAAGGCTTATATAGCTTGGCTTATATAGTTTAGGGTTTAGGGTTTAGGCCACAGCGTTCCCTTGCTTTAGGGGCTTAAGGTTCACAGAGTTTAGGGTTTTGGGTTTTAGGGGCTTAAGGGTTATATAGAGTTTAGGGTTTAGGGCTTTAGGGGCTTAAGGTTTATATAGTTTAGGGTTTAGGGTTTTAGGGGCTTAAGGTTCATATAGTTTAGGGTTTTGGGTTTTAGGGGCTTAAGGTTTGGTTTGGGGGGTGAAGTTACTTAAGGTTTATATGGCTTGTAAGGCTTATATAGTTTAGGGTTTAGGCCACAGTGTTCCCGTTCCCTACTTCAGGGGCTGAAATTTTAGTTTAGGGGTTTAGGGTTTAGGGGCTACCATTTGGGGGATGGGTCCTGGCTATAAGTATAGTACTTGGAGGCCAAGGGAACTCAGCAAGTCGGGTTTAGGGGTTTAGGGTTTAGGGTTTAGGGTTTAGGGTTTAGGGTTTAGGGCCCTAAACCCTAAACCCGAAACCCCACAACCCTTGTAGAATCCTTATGGGTCCCTCTAATACTTAGAGGCCCAGGGGACTTGGTAAGTCGGTGATTAGTAAGGTTATAAATAGGGTAACTCCATTTAGGGTACTTATAGCTCTACTTAAAACCCTAAACCCTAAACCCTAAACCCTACTTACTAAGTTCCCCGGGCCTCCAGGGCTTCCAAGTATACTAAGCCCCCAACACCCTATTCTAAGTATCGAGGCCCCTCCTTTTTGAAGCCTAGAGGTTCGAACGACTTAGGGTTTTGGGTTCGAACGACTTAGGGTTTTGGGTTTGGGGGGTTGGGATTTAAGGTTTGGGGTTTTGGGTTTTGGATTTGGGGTTTCGGGTTTTGGGTTTGGGGTTTCAGGTTTAGTGGTTTAGGGTTTAGGGTTTCATGGTCAAGGGAGAGTTAAGAGGCGACGAAGGCTTCTGTAGGTGTGTAAGGGCCTAAAGAACCGAATGGTAGGTACTTTGCTTGGGGAGAGCGGTTTCGTAGGTTAGTATTTGGGAGAGTATTCATATGATGATCAGTAGGTACTGTAAACCCCAAACCCGAAGCCTCAAATGCCCATAATCAACCCTAAACCCCACAGTTAGTATCGGGGAGAGTATGTGAATACGAGGTACCCTGTGCTTTTGCCCTATCAAAATAGCCCAAAAGCCTTATCTAGTATGGTCTTTGGGCCCAAAAAGCCGTAAAATAAGAGTCCTTAGAGGTCTAGGGTTTTTAGGCTTGAGGATCTTTGCTGTAATTTGAGGCCCCTCCGCACTAGTGTGCTAAACCCTAATTACCCCTTAACCCTAAACCCTA